CTCTCTCTCTCTCTCTCTCTCTCTTTCTCTCTCTCTCTCTCTCTCTCTCTCTCTCGGTCTCACTCGATCTCTACCTCCCTCTATCCCTATTCACTCCCTCCCTCAGTCCCTCTCCCTCTTCTCTACCTCCCTCCTTCCCTCCCACTGTACCTCCCAGCTGTCTTCGCACATAGACGAACAACCTTTTGTCCTCACAACATAGGTAAAAGATGATTGATATATATATAGATATATATATAGATATATATATCTATATATATATCTATATATATACACATACATATATGTGTATGTTGTGAGGACAAAAGGTTGTTCGTCTATGTGCGAAGACAGCTGGGAGGTACAGTGGGAGGGAAGGAGGGAGGTAGAGAAGAGGGAGAGGGACTGAGGGAGGGAGTGAATAGGGATAGAGGGAGGTAGAGATCGAGTGAGACCGAGAGAGAGAGAGAGAGAGAGAGAGAGAGAGAGAGAATGACTTATAACAACCAGTAAATTACCTTAATGGTGAAGATAAGAACTCGACCTCGGGTCACCATGTTGAGGAAGAGGATCATGGCTTCATCCTCATGGGGTGAGTAGGTGTCAAAAATTCTTTTGGCCATCACATGACCCTGGGAAACAAAATAGACGCAGGTCATGCGCCACCGTGGATGAAAAGCGACCTGCTTTTATATTTTATTTTATTTTTTCAATACTTTTTGTGAAAGGATGATCGGATGCTCAGGGTGCAGTGTGCACTGACACAAAAATATATCATATTAATAACACGCACACTAGGGTGGTCCATTTTGGAAAAGTTTGTCGGATTCGTCGGGCCGGGTCGGAAATCTTGTCGATACTATGACACAAGGATGTGTGCAAAATTTTATTCCGATCGGATAATTTTATCCCGTCCCGCAGAGCGACCAAAGTTTCCCCTATGGAAAGAATGTTACGGGGCTGAATGGTAGTACGGTTTCTCCCGTACAGTAAGGATTTTGTTTTGCTCAGTTCGCACTTGCAATAATTCAAAGACGGAAGACAGGAACGCATGTATTTCAAAAAAGGCAACCGTGGTTATCCTTCAACACTGGTGAGATTGTTGGTCCATGTTAACTGGTCCATCTGTCTATCTGTCCATCTGTCTATAATGTCCATCAACACTAGTGACACTGTTAGACCGCAAAAAAAACGAAATCCGGCCGTGCGTGCCATCCCATGCCTACTTCGCGCACGGGTGCAACGCCCGGTGTCGCTCCACGACCTGCAGAAGGTGCTGTCGCTGTTCCTCGTCGCGCGTGATGGCGCCGCAGAACGCGCTGATGAGGGCGACGCCCCTCTCCGCAAAGTCGTTCACCACCCGTAGGTGACGAGCGCGCCGACGAGCCGTGGTGATGTTCGATGTCGAAAAGCGTCCTCAGCTCAGCGTCCAGTAAGAATTCCGGCGATTCTCGACTTCAATTGAAAGATATTAGCTCGCCAGTAGGTGACCGTTGTGTGTTAGGCGTGCGTTTGAGTTTGTCTCCGGCTGCTGAGAGCAGCGATGGAATGGTTAGTTAGTCAGGAGGTGATCGTTCGGGCAACATTCAGCCCAGCCAGTGTCACGCATGGCAAAATACACGGTTAAAATACACATGTTCACCCTATTGAGACCAGTTGTTATGGTGGAAACTTTGGCCGCTTTGCGGGACGGGAAAATATCATCAGATCGGAATGAAATTTTGCACAGAACCGTGTACCATAGTATCGACAAGAATTCCGACCCGGCCCGACGAATCCGACAAACTTTTTTTTTTGCCATGAAAATGTGGACCACCCTAACGCACACAGACACAAATGTTTTGGGTTGTTTTTATTTGTGTGTGTTGTGCTCCCTCTACACCCCTCACGATCGACTTGGGACCATTCCGCGAGATACCGGTCCATCGCGATCGACGTATTGGGCATCCCTACCCCTGCCTTAGTCCCTAAATAGAATTACAAAAAAAAACTACTTCAACTTAATATATCACACTATTCACAGTATGTCAAGCAACTTTAACCAAGAAGCTGCTTGTTGCCGGGAAACTGATGAAGTTTGGCGATAAAAGCAAATTAGAGATAGCCTGCACACCCACATCTAAAGTGTGTACGTTAGCATCTGTCGATTCGGTGGCCATGTAGGTTCCAAGCATCACATCGCATCTTCAACCGAGTCCCAGAGATACCCATTACAAGATTTTTATTTTGGAGGGCGCGGAAAAGAATTCCCGTAATCCCTATTCATGAGATAACTGAAAAGCACTGGATCAGCCTCCATTTAGTTTTGCTGGTTAGCTCAGAAAAACACAACCCTATTTAGCCGAAGCTGAGCAAGAATCTGTCAGACGCTTTGAGGAAGTGTTACTTTATGTATTGAGGTACCTGAATAGTTTGAGGAAGCATTAGTTTATGTATTGAGGTACCTGAATGAAAAAAAAGACCCAATTTGGTGTAAATTCAAAAATATTACATCTGTCAAAATTGGTTGTCTACTCGTAAATGGTGAATCTTACAGTTGCTTGGTTGAGAACAATCACATGGATGCCTCTTCCTTGCTCCCGCATATCATCCTCCAATACCTGCAAGAAAGTAGCAAAACACTCTGACAACATGCATATTACAATTAACAATTAAGACGAAAGCACGCCCGCGACCCTCGATAGAATAAGCGGAATAGAACATGGATGGATGGATGTTGTTTATCACTTAGTCGATTTGTCACGCTGCATCACTCACAGTAGTGCCATCCACTGCAACATAGACTTTGGACCGGCTCGAGTAGACCTCAATGTCAAGAACCTTGCGCCCATTTGGCGGTCTGCGAGGCGTCTCCATGTTGGGCATCACATCCTCTTTCAGAAAAACATTCACAAGTTACACCGTAACAATAGTATATAATTGTACAAATGAGCAATACCATATTCTTGGGCTGCTGCTTCTTCATTAGCAACTCTTCTCGTGTCCAAGATGAGTTTAATATTGACTATGACAGTTATCAGTAGAAACAGTACAGCGCCAGCCTGTGAAAGAAAATTAAACAAGCTGAATAATCCTAAATATAAGTTTTGCAAGTTTCTAGTTAGGACTTTTATTACAATTACCTCATGATGACATTAGGTTATGCTTTTACATCAAAATTAAAATCACTAAATCAACAGTAGTTTAACCTTGAGAAAAACAAACTATCAACTTACTCTTACACTCGGAATCCGTGGGGCAACACAATGTCTGATTGATCATTTGCAGTTAAATACGTTGCTGATGGCATAGTGTTACATGGATGCACTTGCATAACTAATGGCCATTGCACATTATTTTGAACAGCATAGGGGAAAATACTTGGAAAAAAATGATTACCAGAAAGAAGAGTGGCAAAAAAATAACTTGGGTGAAGTACAAACTGTTATTAGAGTAACTGTACTTGAAGATGATATCGTGCTTAAAAAACTATACATCTCTTTTCTCACTCTCTTTTCACTGTCCGCTCCAAAACCTTCTATCGGGTTGCATTCCGGGTAAATATCAGAAGGCAAAGATTCATCCATCCAGAGAGAGAGAGAGAGAGAGAGAGAGAGAGAGAGAGAGAGAGAGAGAGAGAGAGAGAGATTTTTTTTTTTAAGTCAATGGGTGAAAGTGGGTCATGTGTTTAAAAACTAGAAACTGTCATTTCTTCGTGTGGATTCTGGGAATAGAAAAATTGTCAGATTCAAAATACAAAATGAAAAATATATTAATTGCAGACTGTTGTTTACAATACATCATGATATAATCACAGCTAATCTTATATTACTTTCAAATACAACCCCAGGTGTTCTATGAGGAGCATATGCAAAGTTTCCCAATAATAATAGGCAAAAAACAAAAGCAACTACGCATCTTGTGGTCCTGAATCCCGGTTTTATGGCAGAATTTGTTCTTGCAACCAATAAAAACATAGTCGCACTACACGCAGATAGCAAGCTTTGTGTGAATATTTGGCAATTATATTAGCAACTGAAACTTTCGTCTCACCTGACAGAGCCGACGAATAGCCCTCTTATTGCACAATTTGTATTTATAAGTGAGGTACAAGCTTCTTTGCTGGCGGGGTATGAATGGTTTCGCTCGGGGGTTAGGAGTCCACGTCTCCATTACGCTACAAATCTCAGACCATCTTCTCTCGTCGTCCCACGGCAAAACTGACATTTAGTCACATTCTCGTCTGCAAATAAAAAGAACAGCGGTGATGCTTTTCACGGATGAATTCAACATAAAAGTGGAGCTACAATCACCACCAGAAAACGCAGAAGGATAATGCCCCAGATTTAGGCAAACTGTGTGCAGGTTTTAGGTTTGAATAAAAAGGTAACATTTTCACTACCATTGGTAACTCGCCTTCAGTAGAACAATCAAATTACGTTTAAAAAAAGCTACTGTATTTTTGCAACATGCTAATTACGTAGTGTTCTGTCGCAGAATCAGTGACGTCACTGAACGACGCTTTCATTCCTTCCCCGGTTTACTGGCTGAATGCAAACACGTATACACGTGGATAGTGCCTCCTACTGGGAAATAATTATAAAACCAGTTTATGAGCGCCTCAAATTGGTTAATGTACAATTTAAAATGTGTATTTATTTATGCAGCATTTGGAAACTATGGGAGTAAAACCAATATCAGTTTATCCCCAAATGTGTTCGTTCAATTATATTCACGACTGACATGTTTCATTCCAAACATTATTGCAAATGTTTTATTTAATACACTATTCACACATATGTAACGCAGAATATACTGTGAAGCTCAAAATGTTAATCATATATTATAGATACTTTTACTTGCTAAATGTATTTTAATTTGGTAACATACCCTCACTAACAGGTTTTCCTTTTGTCCTCTATAGCCTTTTCATTACTTCAATACCCTTAAATTATTGCTCAGTGAAGGTTGTCAAAATAATAAATAGAATAAAATATTACAATATCTTGGCATGTGGTCTACTGTTCATGAAGTAGGATTTTTCATTCTGAACAAATGTTAACATGGGGCTGAATTCTTGAGTACAGTCTGATTTTATTTTCATACCGAGTTGTCTTTTTGTTTGCATATAAAACATGATGATATGAGACACATCTTCCATTTTAAAAAGATGAATATTAATTCTTGATGAATGAGATGGCAACATCCGACAGATCTCATTGAAATGAAAATACAGGTATTTGTGTACTTCACCATACTGTTGAAGAAGTACACAAAGTCCAACAATAATCTCCACGTTTAATGTTTTATTGCACCATAAAAGTTGAACTGATGTTCTGGTGGTGCACCCAAAGCAACAAGATGCATAAAGAATTAAGTCTCTCTAGCGAAACAGTTGGGTCCCAGCTACATGATGAGGTAAATAATTTCTGTGTTTGAGATTGATGATATTTTTAACATAGTATATTTAACATTATTTGCGTTAACTTGTGTTTGGTAGTGGCCTTGACTGTCCATATCTCTGCTACTTTTGCCATGTTTTTTAAAACGCTCTCTATTATCTGGTGGATCTTCTTCAACTGCTGTCTGCTCATGGTTTTCACTGACCTCACTCTCTTATTCATTTTATATATAATTTTAAATGTGCTTTATTTCATGTATCGTAATCTCTTTATTTTTGTGATTCATTCTTCTTTTAACATGAGTTATTGTACATTTTCAGTTCTGTTCAGACTCAAACAACACTGAAGGCCAAGCTGGAGAGCCTGCAATCTCACTTCACGTGGAACCTGAACCCCCATAAAGCCAAACTTTTCCTTCTCAGAGATAAGCTGGAAGACATTGGAACTGCGGAAGGATATAACTGGCTGGGACATATTTACAACTTGCAGGGGTACATACACTACCATCTTGGGAGTACAAAAGAGGCCCTGCGGTTTTTTTGCAGAGCTGCGGAGGCGTTGCGTCAGATGAGAAATACTGTCTCAGAGGAGGGCCCTTGGCTAGTGGTCAACTATGGGAACCTAGCTTGGCTGCACTACCACATGGGAGAACAAGCAGAGAGTCAGACTTACCTGTCCAAGGTTGATATCCTTCTGAATGAATATCCTTCACCATGTCAAGAGGAACTCCACCCAGAGATCTGCGCTGAAAAGGCCTGGGCTCTGATGAAATTTGGAAAAGACAGTACTCTTCTGGCTGTGCAATATTTTCAGAGAGCCATCAGGATGCAGCCAGAAATGATTGAGTGGCACTCCAGTTATGTCTTAGCATTAGTGAGTACTTTTAAGCTTTATAAAACTCAACTAGATGCAAACACTTTTGAGAAACTGAAAATAGCTAAGAAACATGACCCAAATAACCTATACCTTGCAACAATTTACCTAGCAGCTTGTGCTGCTCGAGGAAGAAGAATTGATGGTAAAGCATTGCAATTGGCAAAAAAGATTTTAAAAAAGCCTGCCAGCAGCTACAGTGGTATTAAACCGTTACTTAAACTATACAGAGTATATTTATCAATGGATGAAGCTCTTGATTTGGCAGAGGAAGCTCTTGAAAGACATCCAGGGGAACGATATCTGATGAGGTGTGCTGCAATCTGCTACAAAAAGAAAATTCTTTTGCACAGGGATATTCCGCCGGAACAAGTGGTGGTTGACAGGGCAATCAGCCTCTATAGAGAAGTGATTGCTCTCTACCATCAATCATCACTAAAGAGAAAAATAACTCTTGCAAATATATATGTAAAGTCGACTCAGAACCAAGCTAAAGCTGATGAGATATTTGCAGAACTACTAGATCAGGGTGAACAGGAACCCGGGGACAGACAGATGCTTTATAACTACTATGCAAAATATTTACACTCCATTCAGAGGCAGAACTACAAGTCGATAGAATATTACATGAGGGCAGCGGCAATACAGTATCCATCTGTCTATCGTGGAAACAGCATCCAAATCCTGGAGAAAATTAGGGAAAGGAAAAGAAACAGAATGTGTAGAGAAATAGAGGAGTTTCTAGACATCTTACAAGACTGAACGATTTGTTTACAGCACTTAGCACTGGCATCCAACTAGCATTAGAGTCACTGGAAGTACTGTATGTAGTTTTCTGCTCCGAAATACTTTTTTTGTTTGACAGGAATTCTTTTTTATTTATCGCTAGATTTTCACATCACTTCTTTGAATGATTCATTTTCTTTGACATCAGAGACAATTGAATTTCATGTGTAGAATGCTGTTTGTAGTGTAATAGCGCTAGCTTCGAGTGTGGGCCAATATGGTCGCTCCTGTTGAAAATTTCAGTTGAAAGAGCAAAAGGATATGTAATCTTGAACATTGTTGGCTCAAGTCAAAGAGTCTGTGTTTGTGTATCTGCATGTGGAGTTACTGAGCGTGAGTTGTAGCCGAAAGCAGCTCTTGAATGCATGTACATTCTGTACCGCTCATAATAAAGTGACTGAAGTGCAACAGCAACTGGGTCATACTTGACCACATACAAGGGCATTTAACTAAGTAGGGCTTGGGTGTGTGCGTGTGTAAAATGTACCATTACATTGTACATGAACTCATGAAAATGAGTATTTGTGTCTACTTTTAGATTTACAGTATATAAGGCTTGTACGTATTATAACGAGAATAAAAACACGAGAATGACAAGTTAAACTCTTTGTTATCGCAACAATTGTCATTGAATGTATATATGAATAAAAAAAACTTTCCAAGTCCACATGTAATTTCTCCTACATGTCTGCGACCAATGAGATCACCCGATAATATGATTCAACTTTGGGTCCTAATCCACCAGTTGAGAATCACTGCTTTTGACAAATACGTTAATAAACGTTTTAAAAGTGTAAATACCCGACATGCAAGATCTGTATCTCTTTAACACTTGTTGAAAATGCATTATAGATTGACAGGGCTTTTGTTTAATGCTGGCGCAAGTGAACTCGACGTAAAGACGTCGGTGAAATATGCAGATGAAAGTACCTGCTAGTGATGGGAATTCCGGCTCTTTTTAGAGAGCCGGTTCTTTTGGCTCGGCTCACTAAAAAGAGCCGGCTCTTTCGGCTCCCAAATGGCTCCTCAGTTTTTTTGTTGCTTAAATTCGTTTACTACCAAAAATAATGTAAAATTATGTGTAAAATGAATTACGAATGTAAAAAATATACAGTATATCAAATATTTATTATTTATATGGCTTTATTTATATTCTTCTGAACATACTCAACATGGCGTGCAACATGGAGTGCTACAAAAAAATAAATTACAAAGTACAAAAACAAAGACCCATCTTAAAACAAGGTCAACAAAAAGTTCCAATCTCTGATTGTGCATATTTATAAGTGTTTAAATATTTACAGTAAAACAACATAAGTAAGCTTTGATTACCACACAACAAATTATAAATTAAAATTTGATATTGGATATTTTAACCTTGCACAGTCTACACGCTGCCTTTGAACTATCAATTAAGTTGAAATCAGTCCAAATTTCACTGCGTTTCCTATCCATTTTCTCACCTTTCCACTTTCCACCGTGTAGTTTTTTCTCTGTACTGTAGCGCTATCGAGCTCTCTCGTCTCCCTGTCTCTCCTGTTCGTGTGCTGCTCACAGTGTGCTGCTGTGTCTCTGACTCCTCCCCCTTCTCTTCACTGAAGCGCGCGCGCGCGTGTGTGTGTGTGGGCGTG